AAAGGACAGATGTTTAATGAGGAAACTAACTGCGCAAAGTCGTGCACTTTTTATCTAGGCGTCTGACAAATTGTTCGAATCTCCGCTCTCAAATGCAAAAAATTGCACAGAAAGACCATTGTCAGCATCAGCTCAATGAATGGTAACCAAGCATTCGAACAAAGTTTTCTCCGCCATGCATTGTTCTTAGCAGCTATGTGTCTCCGAGGACGGTGCTGTCTGTGATCGAGGCAGAGTAACGCAACTCTCACATACGCTGCAGTGTTTGAGAGAGCTGCCTCCTCCGCCCCACACACAGAGAGTAAAACTCTCCGACGCAAGGGAAAAAAAACTGAACTGTTAACATCGGGCTGATATGGTAATAATTAAAATGTTAACAATTAAAATGATTTTTAACGATTAAAGAATGTCTGTGAGCCCACCAACAAGCGCACAAAACTAACTCTGTCAGAATCAATGATCCTTAACGTTACCTGTAAGCTACAATTGGTTGAAGGCTCATTATCATTACGCCAGTTCCCGACAGCGTAATTTGCGTTATCTTTCAAAAGTGCTCGCGTTTTCTTTTAAAACAACATTTCATGGAAAACCAGTTAAATAAGTCTTTGAAAGATCAGAATTTAAGCCTTAACGTTTTCTCCCAGGACTCTTCCAAAACTTCTGGCTGGGGTCTTACACAAGGCAGCATGGGTCACGTGTTCCACAGCAACAATAACACTGGGCTGCCCGCAGACGTGCCTATCTGTAAATCGGCGTACTACATTCAGATATCGGTCAATGCCGAAACATTAAAAAATGCCAAATATCGGGCTGATATTTCGGCCGGCAGATATATCGGTCGAACTGCTTAAATAAAATGACTTCATATACAAGTACAAATTACAACACAATTGTGAAAAAAGTAGAGTTATGGCTGATAATTACAGGGGCCTCACTGATTGTGGGTGGCCCAGCTGGGCTAGTCAGAGTGAGCTGTACCAATGTGTGGATCCTTTCTATAGACCCTGTCTAAAGCTGCCAGCAATCTGGAGCTATTTAACCCTAGGAGGCAGAAGGAGAAATTTGACTGATATGCCCTTAAATTGTATAGGAATAGTCCAGAAACACCAAACAACCATGTCTTTAACTTAGGGAAAAAAACACTTCTGACTTTATCCTTCAATGGTTTCATATCCTCTGGCTTCTTAAAACTATACCTTCTCATACATTTTACGTCATTGTTTTTCAATAGGATTGTTGGGAAGCAAGAACATATATCAGCTCTTAATGAGAGGACTTTGGGCTACAACAGAAATGTTTCTTTTTCAATTGCTATTTTGCACTGATCAAAAGCAAACAATCAGACATATAGTGCTTATATGGGAAGGGAGTGTGATATGACCTAATTTGTAGCCGCTCTGTTTTTGAGCAAATGTGAAGTTTTCATCCTGACTTCATGAATATTGCATAAAGGCAAAAATTGGACTTGACACAAAAAATAACAGACCGAATAATCAAGTGTTTCAGATAATATCACAGCCATACATTGTAGTCAGTAGCAGAGTTTGAGGTCATTTGTTTTAGCTTTTTTACATTGCATGATGAGAAATAAAAGGTGGTGTCGCAGGACCCCTGTGCCTGAGAGCATATCTGGGGCCTGACGTGGTCCCCAGGAGTACAGTGCATGCCATGGGGGCGTGAGAACTTGTGGAGAGGAAAGAGGAAAAGGAAAGCAATAATTTGTGGCTGGAACTTCTTGACTGATTTATCTTGACACTCTCCCATCTGCCTTGGGCTGGACAGGACCCCATTCAAAGCTCTCATGAAGTTAGCATAGCAGGATGCCTGAGATAAGAGCCTGGCATTGTATTCCCTCGAGGGTGTTGCTGAGAGGCTAGCATAGTCATGACAGGAGGGCCTGTGATGGGCTCTGGACATGTGTAAGCACTCAGTAGATGGTCTCGCACAGATGGGAATGATTTCCCGGTTAACGTTTTTCCAATGCTTTGTTGTGCAAGGTTGAGGTTTCTCTGGCTGAACACTGCAAGGTGTCCCTGTCCTCTCTGACCACCTGTACCAACATGCTGTGTGTTTTCCACAGAGGTAGATTAAGTATGATTCTTTCACAACTCAATGACAAGGACAATATCCACCTCAGGGTGGGACAGACCACTTCCTCACAGGATTCTTACTGTATGTTTGACAAATGTTCTCGCATCTTTCAGTGGCACAAGATCCTGGATGTCCTAGGACAAGTAATGGTAGGGTGGTGTATCCACTAATGGATTAGCCTAGGTACTTGGGAGTCCAGTAATTTTATGGCAGTGATCCTTAGGCTTTCCAAAGACACTGGATGATTGTCATCTTTTGTTAAGAAAGGATGATCATTGAGAAGTTGACAACCCAGAGCACACACTATAGCATGCTTTTTTTTATGACCTGTGACCTGTCTAGTTGGCCTTCAGTCACTTTCATAAATTTGCCTTGTTATCCTGAGCAGACAATATCCACAGGCAAACACCATGCATATCCTCATTAAATCTTAACAAATTACACCAAAATTGCATGGGCATCTCCAGTTCCATAATCAGTCCTCCAATTAAAAGTAAGATTGATGTTTTTTTTCTCTTTGATGTTGTACATAAAATCATAAAATGGAAAAATAACTTAATTAGCTTAGAAACCTGGGTTGTAGGGCTGGTCAGAAGCATCCTTAAATATTTGATGATGTTTCTCTGTGGTGCATTGAGATGCTCCCGGCTTCGAGTTTTAATTTCTAAGCAAAGTGTTTTGGTTCTGAGAGTCAGCTGTCATCAGATCTATGGTCCTGTCGCTGGTGATAAAGATGACGCAGTGGAATGTAGCGGATGTGCGTAAAGGGGCTCTGGGCAACTGTCTGCGTCTCCCTGCCCTTAGAGCTTAATTGACAGTGGAGGCAGCCATGTTCAGGTCATACAACTTACTGACGTTATCAGTTAGTCGCATTCACATGCAGCAACCATTTTTTTTCATTAATCACTTTAAGACAATTACCTCAACTGTTTGATTTACCTTTGTTAGAAAAGAAGGAGGCACAGATTTAGGGCTTCTTTGTAATATATTGTTCTGAAGTGTAAACACTTATCTCTGGTGTGCTATGAAAGATAGCCAATGCTTTATTTTTGTTTTTAATATTTTTTTTTACCCTAATTTTCATTGGTTTATCAGTCCTTCAAGGACAATTATGTTCCGTTGGTCTGTGCTGGCACAGAGCTGACCGCCCTGCCTCAGAAGTATGAATATGAGGTTGGATAATATATCAGTCCAAGGTCTTGGGCAATAATGGCACATTGTGTATCAGGGTTACAGCAGGTGTGTGTCTCACCATAATGACCAAATAGTCTTCTTGGGTTCTCTCCTAGTCATTGGTGTCCCCTGTTCTAATGAAATAGAGATGTCAAACATGTCTCTGTGTAAACAGGCAATCCAGTACTCAACATCCCGCAGCCTAGACAGTTCTGTCAGCTTGTGAGTGACCAGTAAAGATCTTCCCATTGTTGTTCCTTCATCATGCTACTATAAAACATGACCTTGCCACAAGTGTTTAGCTGAGCTGACCGCAGATTGGAAATGTGACCCAAGATCTCTGTGGCTAAGTTTATCTCTGGGAGGTGTTTGTGGCCTTTGAGGTAAATGAACAAAGCCCTTCCTCTGCCAACCACATTTGCCTTCACTTCCAGCTGACTTTGTTGTGTGAGAAAATCAGTGCTGCATTACTTCAAATTTGAGGCATTAGTTTAGTTTGGCACATCCTGAGTCTGGAACATGGTTTTGTCTAACTGGTATAGCTATTATTAGTGAGCGTGGGCAGGAGTTTGAGGAGATTCTGTATTGCTTATTGATGTGATGGGCTTATATTAGAACAGCCAAGGAAATGGCCCTTACATGTTCCTCCACCAGCTAGCTGCACCTTCTAAGTAATCAAATTCTTTCATCTTTGTCCAGTGACCCTCTGTAATTGTCAGGTAAACCCCATTGATTTCTCGTCACTGTCTGGGAAGTAGGCTTTGTACGCTGTCATCAGCTTTTAAGTGGAAGTTCATCACTTACACCGCCCACACACCTTCAATGGCTGTCAAATTGCACCCCGGGTAGCTGGCAAGTCACATGACTATAGCCTGCAATGTTTCTGACAGTGAGGTTTGACATTCTCCAAAAAGAGGAAGAATTAATAAATACCTATAGAGGGTCTTTTAGTTCATATTGTGCAATTTTCTGCTTTGACAAACTGCTGCTTGTTGTACATCCTCTGGGTATGGCTGACAGTTGTAGGTATGTGTATTTGTCTGAGGAGTTAAATCTGCTGATCATTTAAGATTGCAGTGTGGAATTCTCTGTTTGAGTTTCACATTTGAGCTCTTTGTCGGCTGGTCATTAGTTGGAAGCTCAGTCTGGCTTCACTTGTGGCCTCTTGACAGCTGCACTCTTGTCTTGTACTGTCTGCCTCACTTATACCCTCATTTGGACAAAAGCTGCTAAATAAACCGATGTAAATATGGAGCCATGGGCTTAAATTGAGACCCAATTCAGTGACTCTCTCTGGGATAGTCTCAGAACCTTTTCACAGTTCGCCTGGGGGTTGACAGATGGAACTCTTTGGTTCTCTGCATTAAGAACCTTTACTGTACCTTGATTTTTCTTGTTGAGGCTCTGCAGTCCATGCTATGCCTGAAGTCATCAACATTGTGTAGTCTGCAATCTCAGATGAGGTTAAGCAACCTCTCTTACCCTGGGGAAGCATCGTTTTAGTTAAAGCTTCTAACTTCAAGTGATGTTTAAGCTTCTGCACGTATATTAAGTTCTGTGAAGCTCCTGTGGTATGGTTAGCTTAAAAGCTGTACCATAGTCCTCTGCACTGGGAGGAAACCCATATTAAGTAGGACGCCATGCCTTTCTTTGCTGGCACTCCCAGCCTGTGAGGTCTCTGCGAATGTAATGATGGCTTGGATGTGTGACTTCCTGTACGAAACCTGCTGGCTGTGAGCCGTGTGGGAGGAGAGAGGGAGAAAGAGGGAGGTGTGACTTCCTTTCTGGGCACAGAAGGGCAAAGTCTGCTGTTGACTTCACCGGGACTTTTGGGGGTTCTGGAATCTGCAGAGTGACAGAATCAGTGATAAGGATTCCTCTACCAAACCCACCACATCCCTTCTCTTTTGAAGCTTGTGCATGGTGTCAGCTTGGCATCTGGCTCCTGGAAGACATGAGATCGCTCTGCATTCTTCTATCGATAGTGAATCACTTTGACAGTAACGGGTTCCCAGGCTTGGCTGAGGAGCTGGGAAGATTCCAAAGATACAGGACTAGCTTAAGAGACCATGGTCCTGGTTGGTATATTGAAAGCCATCTTCTTATGGATGCCTGGGATGAGTAAATTCATATGTTATTGCAGCATGTTAATGCAACATCAGCATATTGTGCTGTTAACTGGCACCGTGCTTTTAGTGACTGTGACAGGGAGGCTGTCTGGACCAGCGATGAGAACAATCTGTTTTTATATTCCAGCAGATGAGCATCACGTGGTTAAACAAGCTCTGCATCTTATGTAAGACTCAGTCAATTTCTATGTATCCTATGTGTCAGTATGATAACAGTCAGAATTCTGACATCTTTTAAACAGCTTGAATTGACCTGGGATTCAATACTACCCTG